CGTGCAATTCAAGCACGGTTGCCAGGTCTGGTTCTCAAGGAAAGGAGATATTGTGAGCAGGGAAGATACATCCAAAACACATTACATTTATTTTGGACTTATTATAATGCACATTCCTGGGCCTGAATCAGATACTTTACAAGCCTCTCTGGGGAATTTTAACACACAGTCAAGTTTAAGAACTATCTTGTTTGGATCTTTCTAACGCAGCATTGTACAAACTCTAGTTGTCATCACTTATTATTCACAAAATTATCATTCAAGTCTCTGCACCCGTGACCTTGAGGAGGAGAGAAATAGCATAGCTCTTTCCAACAAGTTACAGCGATGTGATGAAAAGCCGGAGGCCATCAGAATTAAAAGCCAGAAGTGCCATTACAACATAGTGGCACTAGAGGGCACCCTAGCCCGCCACCAGGACCAAGAACGCAGCAGGAGGCAAAGCTACCTTGGCAAAGACCTGGGTTTGAAAGAAGCCAGTTGAGATCTATCCCTGCATGCACACCCATGTGTATACACACACACACACACACACACACACACACACACACACACACACACACACACTGACACCACCCAAGGTCAGGGGAGGGTCCTTGTCAGGATCTTCTGTCTTCAGCATGTTGAAATATCACTCTACAAATAGTGCTGTAGCTCTAGTTGCTGTTTGACGGACTCACCTTGGGGAAGGCTCTACCCCTTCTGGCCCCAGGACCCCCAGTGCAACCGCAGGGGTCAGGCTGGGTGATTCCTAAGCTCTTCCCAGAGACCCGTTAGAAAGAGTTTGCTTTGTCCCGTCTGCATGACCAGAGAGCCACTCCTGTGGGCTTCAGCCCTCCCACCAGCTGTGAGGTCCCATGATGGCAGGGGCCATGTGTGGCGCATCCCCCCTCAGCCCCAGGCTCTGCCTGACACGGAGGAGCCCTGAACAAATGCTCCACAAGGGCTGTGGGGGTTGGCTGATGGACCCTGGGAGTGCATCTCACCTCCTTGAGCCTGTCTCCTCGGCTGCAAAGTGGGCAAGGACACCCATATCGGGTATGAGTCTCTCTGTCCACACACTGTTTGCAGGAAATACTATTTTGTTTTTCTGTAACTGAACGTAATTTCTACTTTGACCTCCTATTCCTCCAGGGGGCTGAGATCACCTCAAGCCAGCTGAGGGTCCCTTTGCCCTCTGTTGTGGGGCAGCATCTCACGTGCAGCAGGATTACATAGGACAAGGCACTGAGAAGAGGTACCCTGGTCTCCTCTACTGATGTCACTCGGTGCCTACCTGCGAGCTGAAGACCCCACAGTATCAGTCATTATTATTATTATCATTATTATTCCTCCCTCACCTCTACAGGAGTCTGCAGTAGACAGCTCTGGGTTAGCATGGCCAAGCCACGGCCTCACTGCCAGGTCCCTCTGCCCCCTGCGTCCTCCCAGGTTTGGGCCTCCAAGTCCACAACCCTGCAGGCAGAGGAGGAAGGGGAGGAGAATAGAGCTGCCCTTCCACAAAGATCATTCCCTGAGTGTGGCACAGGACACTCCCACTTGAAGCCTACTGGTCAAAACTTAGGCAAAGGAGGCTGGGAAATGTAGTCTTTATTCTTGGGAGGCAAGCCTTGGGCTACACATAGAGGTTCCATTACTGAGAAGAGAATGGACCTGGGGGGATACTCATGGCTCATGGCTGTGGGTCTCCACGGCTCTCAGAACTTCTGTCACCTTCTCCTGCCCAAGCCCTCAGCTTGAGGATGGGTCAGGACCTGGGAAAGGAAGCTGGGAGGGGTAGGAGTAGAAGATAGTTGCCTCCCTCTTCCCTCTGCCTCCCCCAACCCACACACACAATTGAGGCTAAACATTTTTTAAAATATATTTTTATTGTAAAGTATTTCAAGCCTATAGTCAAGAATAAAAAATACAATGAACATCTGCATACTTGCCAACCGCTTGTAGCAAATCTTGCCATTTTAATACTTGCTTCAGATTTTAAGAAATGCCCTATTACAGATTCAAGAGGAGCGTTCCAACCTTCTTCCTGAATCCCTTTTTGTACTTCTTGCCCTGGAGGAGCCACATCCTGAATTCAGTGTTTATCAGTCCCTTATGTCTTTTACTCTTAATACAAACAAGTATCATGCATGTCCCAAAGTATAGTTTTGCAGGGTTTTGAACTTTATAAATGGCTTCTTCCTCTATGATTCATTGTGCAATTTGCTTTCTCACTCTCAGTGTTGTGTTTGAGATATGTCCATGATGACAACCCCAACTCCACATCAGTCACGTATCATGGGTCATATATGTGGTATATGGCTGAGGTATGGGGCTACACTCAGTGTGCTTATCTCTTCTTTTGATGGACAGGTTTTTGCACTTGTTTGCTAGCAAATGATGCTGCAGCGAACATCTTTGGGCACAGACACAAGAGTTTCTCTGCACTGGTGGTTCTGAGAGCCTGGTTGTGGGTCAGCAGCATCAGCCTCATGGAACCTGTTGGAAATGCAAATTCTGAGGCTCAGCCTCAGATCTACTCAGTGGGACATGCAGGCGCTCAGGGTGGAACCCAGCGTTGTGTGTTGTAACAAGACCTGTAGAAGAGGCTGATGCAAGAGTTTGAGAAGCGCTGCTCTAGGGTTTAGACCACAAGCCAAATTGCTGTATTCAGAAAAGGCACATCCTCAGACTTACTAGAAGCTGCTGGATTTTTCTCCAGGGATTATTTACACTCCTATCAGAAGGAATAGTTTCCTCTCATCCTTGCCAGCCCTCTGTGCTATCACAATTCAATCTGTTTCCCATTGGGTGGGAGGTCTGGGCTCTGTTTGCTTCTCAGCAATCTTCTCTCTCTGGCTCTGGGGATCCCTCTTGTGACATCATACTTTCTCTCTGCTCTCAGGTCCCTGCGGAGCTACAGCTTTGGAAACACACAAACCTTTACTCTGCTCTTCTGTGGCTGTTCCTCTTCGCAGGGGCAATTAGTAAGCCCGCTGGATCAGTCAGGGTTCTCAGTTGTAAGCAACAGCAGTGGGAGTTATCAGCAGGATGTGGGGGTCCTCACAGGATCCAGGCAGCTGGAGATTAAGCTTGGAGACAGGGTGGTACCCATCCCAGAGCAGGAGGGAGAAGAGGGAGAAAAGGCTCCAGGTTGGTCTGGAAAGACCTCACAGTGACCCTCATCCTCACATAGCCCCCTTGCTTTTTTTTCTAACTCCTAGGACTCAGGAATGAGTATCTGGGTTGGTCAATGCCCAGTCATCACCAGCTTGAAGAAGGGCTGGACCTCCTTGGTTTCTGCTCTGGGTGTGTGGGGGGTGTACCAGGATTTGCCCTTCCCAGGTCCTCACACAACAGGGAATTTCCTTTAAGAGGCAGATGAGGGGCATCCCTGGTGGCTCAGTGGTTTAGCACCACCTTCGGCCCAGGGTGTGACCCTGGAGACCCAGGACCAAGTCCCACATCTGGCTCCCTGTATGGAGCCTGCTTCTCCCTCTGTGTCTCTGCCTCTCTCTCTCTCTCTTTCTGTCTCTCATGAATGAATAAATAAAATCTTTAATAAATAAATAAATAAATAAATAACAGATGAGGCACCAATAGAAGGGGTGGTGGTGGCACAGAGCTGGAGAGTCAAGAATGTCCTATGCTGGGTGGCCATGGGCTCAGGAGAGCCAGGGTGTGCAACTGTGTTTATTAAACAGTCTGATCTTTCTGGAGTGTAAATGTGGAATGGTTTAACGTGTCCTCTAGTTGCCTCTAAGACACTGCTTGGTCCTTCATGACACCCAGTCACTTTCTGACTCTCCCCAGCTCCTACCTGTCATGGTTTCCCCCGCTGCCTCTTGCTGGGACACTTGCCAGCAAGCAGTCTGCTTGGGGGAGGCAGCAGCGTTAGCACTGAAGCCCGGCTGCTTCCGGAGGGGCCCTCGACACCGAGCAGCCCATGGCTGCCTCTCCTCTCAACTCTGCCCTTCTCTCTCCTGGCCTCTTGTCTCTGCTCAGAGAGGCAGGTCAGCAGTGCTGAACACAAGTGAATATCTGTCCAACTGGGACATGAGAAGCTGGTCACCTCTTTTTGCAGGTACCTTGTCTCTATGTGGGGCATCCCTGCCTCTCTTTTTACTTGGTTTTGGGGGTTGGGAACAGAGGGAAAGCCACAGCCACCCACCCCGTCCCCAGGCTGACAACTCTGAACACCCATGAGCCCCTCTCTCTGGGTGGTCAGCTTAATCAGGTAATGGTCAAGAGAGCAGTGACCCTCTATGAGCCTTGGAGAGGCTCTCTTTCTAGAATATTCTCTGCCTCCCTCTTCCAAGCTTTGGGTCCCGGTTGCTGACTCTGGGGCAATAAAAGTTTCCTTCTCTCAACTCGCTATGCTTGATACTGGGAGCACTTGATGACAGTGACAGGAAGGAACAGAGGAGTCTTGTTCAGAAACACAGCAGGAGGACAAGGGCCTCCCCTACCCCACATGCATGTGCACCCCCCACAATGAAAAATACACACTATTTCCCCTGAAGGTTAAGTTTGTAAGTTATAGAGAACTCCAAATAACGGTTTAAACAAAACAGACAGTGACTTCTCTCTCCTGTAAGTTTACATAGACAGCTCAGGGCTGGATTAGCAGGTTTTCCCTTCCTCAGGGACCCGGGCTTTTTTCTTATTTCTCTACCATCCTCAACACATACTTCCCACTTCATGATCCAAAGTAGCTGCTTGTGTTCCAGCCATCGTGTTCACATTCCACACAACAGGAAGGATGAGGGGATGACAAAGGGCATGCCCCTGGCCTTTAAGGCAGCTTTTTGGAAGTCACACACGTTGCTCTAGCTTACACCCCTTTGGCCAAGTTGGGGTCACATGACCATATCTAGTTGTATGGGAAATGTAGTCGTTTGTCTGGGTGGCCACGTGTTCAGTTGATGTGCCACAGGAGACAGTCTAAGCCACTCACATATATGGTTTGGCTCTCTCTCTCTCCCCTATCCCTCCACCTTCCGCCCTGGTCTGGCTGGCAGTGGGCACTGGTCTGGGTGGCAACTGCACAGGCTGTGTCATCTGCTCAGAAGAAAATGGCTGTTCCACCTGCCAGCAGAGGCTCTTCCTATTCATCCGCCGGGAAGGTATCCGCCAGTACGGCAAGTGTGTGCATGACTGTCCCCCTGGCTACTTCGGCGTCCGCGGCCAGGAGGTCAACAGGTGCAAAAGTACGTGGCTCCTCCCTTGTCCTGTGCTTGTGCCAGGCTCCTGAGACCTCTGGCCCACATCCCACCTCTCACCCCAACACGGCCACAGGGGAAGTGCTGTGTACCTGAGCCCCGACTCAGATCCTTGCTTGCTTTTAGGCTGGCTCAGAAGTCCTAAGCCAGTCAGTGCCCTGTCTGGTCTCAGCACTAATAGGGCAGGAAACCTTCACGTCTCTCTACCCTAGTTTGCTGTGTGGCCTTGGGCATGTTACTCACCCTCTCTGGGCCTAGCTCACATGGGAATAGGAGTCCCAACTCCTAACTCTAATTTTCATTGTGACCTGGGACAAAGCATGACCATCTTTGAGCTTTGATGGAAATGCAGCAGAAAGTCCTCACTCACAGCCCAGATTTGCTATTTGACTTTAGACAAGTCACTTGCCCTCTCTGAGCCTTGGCTCAAATGAGAAAGAGAGTCTTGGACTTTAAATTCAAATAACCACATTACCTTGGACATGTTACCTGCCCCCAATGAGCCTCTGTTCAGATGAGGAAGGGAGTTCTTGAATGCAGTTCCTACAGAAGTTTGGGCTTCAGAGGAGACTCAATCCTGACCCCAGCTTTCAGAGCCTGGGCTGCTCAAAGGCCCTCTCACCTCAGGCAGGCCCAGAGGGCCCCCTTCTGGGCAGCTGCCCTCACCAGGGGTGGCCCTGGCTCTATTGCAGAATGTGGGGCCACGTGCGAGAGCTGCTTCAGCCAGGACTTCTGCATCCAGTGCAAGAGGCGGTTTTACCTGTATAAGGGGAAGTGTCTGCCCACCTGCCCGCTGGGCACTGCGGCCCAGCCCAGCACACGGGAGTGCCAGGGTGAGTGGGGGCTTTCTCACCTGCCTCCTTCCCTTCGGGGGCTGGAGAGGGGTGTCAGGAGACCCAGAAGAACCACAGGAGAGTGTCATGTGGTGCTGGGAGGCCCAACCGGTGACATCAGGTATACACAGGGACCCTTCAATTCCCTAGAGCCATCATAAGCACCGTTATTATGATCACTATCACTACAACGTCAGCTTCATTGTTATTAGCAAGGGAGACAGCAGAGTCCACAAGAAGAGCACTGATTTTGGAGTAAGACAGACCTGGGTTCAAATCCTCTTCATGCCTCCTTTTTGCCCCTCCCTGAGCTTGGCTAATCTCCCCACCCCTACTTCAAGCTTCAGGTCAGGAAGCCTTCCAGGTTCCTCAGGACCCTGGGACCCATGCCTCTTCTAGGCTCCGGCCGTTGCCTGTGCTTCCCCCATTACTGCACAAGTACCTTCCCCACTCTGTCCTGACGTTTCTATGGGCAAACTCTGGGAGTCAAAGCCAGGTCTGTCTTGTCCCAGTTGCCACTCAGCACCCAGCACAGCACGAGGTTCACAGTAGGTCCTCAGTCCCTGCTTGTCAAATGAACACATCTAGCAGAAGGACCATTGTTCTCAGGTCTGGAGACCCAGTTTCTGGATCCAGTTGGGCCTTAAACACTTGCAGTGCTCTGATGGTGAGCCCTTTTTCTGTTCCCTTAGCAGGCCCCTTGCCTGCTCTAGGCCTCAGTGGCCTCGTCTGCAAAATGGGGTATTAATAATAGCTGCCCTGTTCTTTGCCTACCTCTCAGGGACTCTTAAAATAATCCAATGTGAAAGAACATATATATTGATCTGTATTTTAAAGTTGTTTCTTATTGAGGAACTTTCTTATCCTGTGACCTCATTGTTCCTCACAATAGCACTGTATAGCTTCTGCCTTGCACAGCGCATCAGAGGCACATGATCAAGGTCAAAGTGATGTCGTAGCCCTGAGGGCCTCCCCTCAGACCTTCTGGCCTCCAGGCCTGCCCCTCCTCCCAGCCTTCCCCAGCCCCCACTCTAGCTGTCCTTCCTCAGACACGGTTTGCAGATCCTTGGGGCTGCCAGTGCACCACTGCCTGCAATGTGCTTCCTTCGGGGCCCCCCGGATCACCTCCTCTCCCTTTAGCTCCTCTGACACCTCCTCAGGGAAGCCTCCCCCTCTAAAGCCAACGGTCACTCCTGCTTCTGACCCAGGCATGCTTTAGTATGGCACCCATCCCAGGTCCTCATAAATAGATAGTTAAGTGTCTCCTCTCTCTCTGCTCCTTGTGAGAGCTTACAAACCCTCACACACACACACACACCCACCCCCGCCCTGTATGCAGAGATGGTGTCTTCAAGGACCAGGACCCCTCAGACCCTGCCCTTGGATCTGAAGGACACTCCTTGCCTGCTGACTTGATCTGTCTGTCTCTCTCCACCCAACAGAAGAATGTGAGCTGGGCCCCTGGGGCAGCTGGAGCCCCTGCATGCATAACGGAAAGACCTGTGGTTCTGCCTGGGGCCTGGAGACCCGAGTGCGAGTGCGGGAGACCGGCAGGGCTGGGCGGGAGGAGGCACCAACCTGCCAGGTGCTGTCCGAGTCAAGGAAGTGTCCCATCCAGAGGCCATGCCCAGCAGGTAAGCACTGGGCCGGCATTTGAGGCTGGGGCAGGCAGGGCCCATGGGGGACGTGGCTGGGGACACGGCCTGCCCATATAGCACCCATAAGGCCGCCTGCAAGCCCAAGATCAGCCATGCCTTCCCGTGGATAAAGTACCGCCCTCCCTGGTGTCCTTCAAAAGCAGTCTTCCTTGCCCGGGTCAGTCCCACTTACATGAGGGATGTGTGCCTGCATTCATCAGGACTTATCTGCCCTTTCGGACTGACTGCCTCCCTTTTAATAACAAGGTTTTGGAGCGCCCTTTTTACAACTCCAAAGTTCATGGATAATGTGATCTCCTTGCACAGGTCATTAAAAAAAAATCAGTAGAGTGCCCTGTCACATAAAAGAGAAAGAAGAGAAATTGCCCCACATGGCAGCACTTGGGCTCCACACCCTCGGTGAGCACTTAGCGGAGTCAGGGCAAAAGTGAGAGCTATGGTCAGGGCTGCAGAGACGCGACCTCCCAAGAGGGGACCCACTCGTAGTAAAGCCCAAGCAAGCCGTCAGATCTCTTGACTGGCACCACGCTGGCAGCCTGGGGATGTTCAGGGACTAAGGTGACTGTTCAAAAGCACACATAACCTTCACAGGCGAGATGGAGCTTGGCTCTAAAGGTGCAGTCTCCAGTTGTGTGCCTGGGGCCACAGGGGGCAGAGGTGCAAGAACTGAGTGGAACCAGAGTTCTTTGTGGAGAGCTGACCCACGGGCTGTCCCTGGACCCTGTCCACTGAGCACTGCTGGGGTCCCCCTCCTTGTAACAACCCAGATCAGCACACAGAGTTACAAAATACCCATGAGGCCTGTTAAAAAGCCATTGACTTAAAATTGAGAGAGGCTGCAGAGTGTGGTAGGTAAAACGTGAATGCTGAGTAGCAATCATGTGGAATTAGCCATCATTAACTATGTATCTACTATGTGCTGGGCAGGGAGCTCATCCTCCACATTCAAGTCACTTAATCTGCACAATGGCACAATACTGTGGTATTGTTACCATTCCCATTTTACAGTTGAGTAGGTAGAGGCCACAGGTTGAGTCACTTGCCCCAGGCTCACGCAGCTAGGAAAGCCCGGACCTGGAATTGAAACGTAGGTCTGTGTGCAAAGAGGGAACGAAAGTCATGCTTAAGTGTAAGGTGCCTGGAGCCAGGTCACCTGGGCCACACAGCTGGGATGTGGTGGAACCAGGACTCGAACCCATGCCTGGTTTCAGAAGCACGTGTAGTGTCTGGGGTATGAGTGCAAAGCAGAGATGGGTCTTCTAGGAGTCATGCTGGGCAGCTGAGGACAGAGGGTGAGGTTGAGACAGGACCCCAGACCCAGGGAAGCACCCACACACACAGACATAGGAAGTTCTCTATAACACTTGTCACTTTGGCCACACCTCTCATGGCACCTGAGAGCTGGTGGTGATTGGCAGTGGAGGCCTGGAGAGAGGAAAGCCTTTCCCACAGATAATAATAATAATATACAACAGCAGCAGCAGCAGCAAACATTCATACACAGCACCTACTGTGATCTGGGCCCTGTGGTCAGTGCTCTGTAAATATGATCCCTTTTGATCTCCAGACAAGCCTACTGTGAGCTACTTGCATCCTCCAGGTCTCAGCTCAAAGTTCTCGGAGAGGCCTTCCACGACGGCCCCTACCAAGAGTCACTTTCCAACGTCTGGTGTCATAGCACTTACATCTTCCCAAAATGATGGCGCACCTTCTTGTGTTAGCTGTTTGGTGTCTGTCTTCCTTACTAGAATGTGATCTCCAATGAGGACCAACTCTTTGCCTGTTTCTCCAGGGCCTAGAAAAGAGCCTGGCACACAGTAGGTGCTCAGTTCACATTGTTGAGGAGTGGATTGGTGGGTAGATGGGAGGGGAGGTGGGCCAATATCAGCAGGCATAAGGAAGGGATGGGGGCACCCACACTTCATCACCCAGATGCTCATGTCTCCTCAGATGAAACACCCCTGCAGTTTAGAGTGGGAACCTGGCCTAATCAACCCCTGAGGTTCAGGAGTGGGTGAAGGGAGGCCCAGAAGTGAGGCCCAAAACTGGGCAGAACTGGGTCTAAGGGGATGACTCAGAATCCCCCCTGAGGGGTAAGAGGAGGGGGGAAGGCCAGGGAGAAGTCCTGGTCTTTTCCTCCATGTGAGCCAGGAGCCACTCGAAAGTGACATCAAGAAGCCCAGCCCAGACTATGCCACCAGACAAGTCAAGGCCCTGCTGGGCCTTAGTCACTTTATCTGAGAAATGGGACAAATCAGATGTTTATGTTAGAAACTCATCCCAGGCCCAAGGGTGGAGTTGGGGGTGGAGGCACAAGGTCAAGGGGTTTTCAGTTAAGTCTGGCGTTTGCACACCAACCCCACATAAGAACTGTCATATGGGGGCAGTGGGGCTGTGCCTGCCCCCACAGCGGTCCTGAGGTTAACATCCATAGAGCCCTTGGGATGCACCTGGCATGCAGGAGCACCAGCAAAATGCTACTGTCCTTGTCTGAGGGCCAGAGCTGGGGCCAGAAGCTGATCAGGGAAGTTTGTGCAGGGACCCGGGTAAAAGGTGTTGAGTCTCCCATGTAAAGCCTTGTAGACTGGGAAGTAAGTGCCAGTGGGAGGGTCTCGGGCACCCCCATGGAGGCCACCCTAAGTCCTACTACTCCCCCCAACCCCGTGGTGTGAACCTCCGGGCCTGGCCATGCCAGATGCCCAGCATGGGGGGCGTGTGGGTCTCAGCCAGTCAGCGCTCCTCCTCAACTGCTAAGGAACTGGGGGCGATGTTCCATTTGGGGTAAGTTACCCTGCAGTCCAAACTCCAAAAAGGAGTGACTGTAAGGTCAGCCCCCAAATGCGGTTCTGAGCCCCCTGCGGGGGTGTGGGGGACACCCCCTCATCTCTCAGGATGGAGGGGCCTCTCCAGGGCCCACCTGGCCTCAGAAACAACGCCCTGTGCTCTAGATGCAGAGAAGAACCCCAGCCAGAAGAAGGGCCGGAGAGACCGGCGCCCGCGCAAGGACAGGAAGCTGGACCGCACGCTGGACGTGAGGCCCCGCCCGCCTGCGGCCTGAGGAGCACCTGCACCCCCGCCCGCTGCCTGTAGCCACCCCCCACCCCCGCAGACACGCCGCCGCCCCCCCACCAGCGCCTCCAGCCCCCGCCCGCCCTCTCCGGCTCGGTCCCTGGGCCTGTACCCTCTCTCCCCACCCTTCCCGTCCTCCCCGGTGCCCTCTGCCTTTCCTGCTCTCTCCCTTATTCCTGCTCTTCCTTCTGTCTCTCCTCCCCCCTTCCCTCTCGTCCTTTCCCTTCTCTCACTTTTCCCTTTCACCTGCTTTTCTTTTCCTTTCCTCGTGCTTTCCTTCCTGTTCTTGCCTGTGTCCTGCTCTCTCTCTGTCACACACGCACACACACGCACACACGCACGCATGCACACACATGCACACTTTGAGAGATGACCCTTCTGTGCCTGGCTCCCCGGCTGCTCTCTCTACTTCTTAAAGAAAGCAAACATTTCTCTAGGCCTTTTCCTCTCGCTGTCTTGACCCCACCTTCCCCCACCCCGCCCTGTTGGCAGAGAAGGGAAGGGGTTTCCAAAAGCGGGCCCAGGCTCTGGGTTCAAGCAGGCTCTGTGAGTCCTGCCAGCCCTGCTTCTGCTCCAGAGGAGACCCCAGAACCCGGGTCTGCGAGTGCCCCGTGGGCAGGCCAATCCCTGGAGGCCACCTCCACAGCCCCCGGTCACCGAATCACGTAGGAACACCCCCCATCAAGAGGCTCTGGGGGCTCCTGATACCCTGTCTTGACACTTTCCCCAGCTGGCCGTGCAGGAGCACGATGGGGCCTCTGGCTGGACAGCCAGCCCTGTGCCTTCCTGTGGCCGCAGAGTCTGCACTCCTGGACGCTGCCTGCCAAGCCCTGTCACTGCTCTGTCACTGCCTTTGGGGAGGTGATGAAGGAAGGAGCAAGGGAAGGGTCCGGAGCAAGGGAAGTTCCCCCCACTCCCTCACACCACCACTGAACCCTGAGCACTTGCATTTCACTGTGACACCCCCACACGCCAGAACATTGGGGAGTCTCAGGTTAGACTTAGCTCAGTAGCAGGTTTGTCCTCACTACCTGTCATTTCACCATCATGGTACATCATGATGTACCTCCTCATCAGCCTCCCTGAGTCCCCAGGAAGGGGAGTTTCCAATTTTCCTTGGCATTACTGGCTGGCCTGAACTCAAGGTCCAGGAGCTAGGAGCACTGAGAGTCTGAGGTCCAAGGGGCCCAGGGTAGCCTGGGGAATGGGGTATCCACAGGCTGGAAGAGAGGCTCCAGGTGATGAAGTAGCATTCCCCGACTCCAAGAAAGTACCTGCCCTTAGGCTTCCCTCTATCTGGCTCAATCTCTTGATGCTGCTACCACCCCTCCAAGGCTCACCCTCATCCCCACATTCCCTTCACTTCCCTGAGGACAGCTACAGCCCTTCCTCGCCTGGCCAGACCACCAGCTTCTCTTCTGCAAAATTTTGTGCCTCTGAAATGCTCTATTGTTGTTTCAAGACCCCAACTTTTTTTTTTAATAAAGAGAAAAAAGAAACAAGAAATTTGCAAGTGCTTCTTGGGCATCAGGCGGGTGTTACAAAACCATGATGCTGATGAGTTTGGAATAACTGAATCTAAACCATGTGGGGCGGTTTTCCCTGGAATGTTCAGGGCTGAAAAGACTAGGGTGTGTTGGGGACAAAGGGTGTGCTGAAAGAAGAGAAGGGTCCCTCAGCCCCCATACCCAGTCCTTTCTAGAAGGGGGTTTAACCATGGGGCAGAAACAGTGACACTGTGCTCCCCACCCCCAGCACCTCTCAGTCCCATGAATCACAGAAGTGGTTGCAGGAACCCATCTGTGCTCTAGAGGACATGTCTGAGGGGCCAGGGACACCCCAGAAGGTGTGACCATCCCAAGGAGCTATCTGAATACCCTGGGCTGCAGGTGACAGTGGCCTCAGTGTTGGGGGCCCAGGTTCGAGTCCCAGTCTGGCACCAGCTGTCTGTGGGCTCCAGGCCAAGTCAGTTTTTCTTTCTGGGCCTCAATTCTCCCCTCCCCCAATTTGATGAATGAAGAGGAGGCATGACTAGATTATACTCTTTGCCCAAATCTGGGTGGCCCAAGAGCATCCTCTGGGATGCTTTTTAAAAATTCAGATTTCAGGGCCCTACCCCAGGCCTGCTAATTGTGAACAAATTTGGGGACAGACAGTGAGAGCTAGCTACTCATTCCAGAACAAGCTCAGTGGAGAGGGTGGCTCTCGGGTGACTTGCAGCTGCACGCTGCTCGGGCCTAAGTTTGAAGCGGCTGCCAACCTGATTCTGACTGCAAGCCTCTGCGATATGATTCTATAGAGTTTCATGTATATGTGTCTTCTCCATTCTGTTTTCTGATGAGATTTGAATTCTAGGATGCTGGAGGTTCTAAAGTCCACCATTCTAAGAAATTGAGATGGGAATGGAAGCTTCCCATCCTACAATCCCCTGGCTGTGTTCTTTCCTGCAGGAGCCTGGTCCTCTGTCTGCAATTGAAGGCTGTGGACAAGGCTGTCTTTTTTTTTTTTTTTTTAATGTTTTTAAATTAAGAGATAAAGTTTCTTGAGGACCTAAGCCCCTCCTATAACCTTTGGATCTCAGATGTTTCCTGCCCCCCCTGCTCCTAATCCATTCTCATCCCAGCCTCTCCCACATTCTCCAGAGGATTGGGCTGCTTTACTGGGAAGGAGACCCTCCCATTGAACTGCCTCTTACAGGTGAAGCTCAGAGAGAAGCTCCGAAAATTGGCTAGTGTCATCCAGCCGAAGAGGGACACAGCCCAGAGGGAGGTTCGTTGCTGGCCAGATGCTACTCCAGAGGGAGAAAACATGGCTTGGCCTCCCCCTTACTCCCACCCCGGCTCCAGGGGCCACTCCAAGGCCCTCTTCGCAGGCAGACACCCCACCCCAGAGTTCATCGGTCCCCATTCCCGCATATCCTTCCCACATCCTGTCCCTAGAGGGTGCCACCCAACCAGGAATAGTGCAGCAGCCTGGCTAGTAACTGGGCACTTTTCAGAAATAAGGGTCAGGTCGTGTGGCTTTTCTCTCCCAGTAGGGCTGGTGGGTGTGGATGACAAGGGGAGGCTGCCTCCTGCCTCAGGCTGAACGACAAGCATTGCGATGGTGGCTTCCGCAGAGTGGCATTCATAGCACTCAGGCCTTCCTCCCAGGCACAGAGGGGACTCAGATTCAGAGGAGGACCCGAGCCCAACATCCCGTAGCCGGTAAGCATGACTGCAGCAGTTCCTGACCTCCTGCCAAGACATCCTGGCCCCCGGCACGGGTGACTCGCCAAGTTATATTTCTCCCATCTGCACTTCTAGGAAGATTTCAAACCATCCTGTGTGGTCCATCAGACTCAGGAAATGTGCATTCTTGTAATAACAGAACAACAGTAATGATCACGATGATTAATAATAAGAATGTCTTAAATGTACTGAGCTGGCTGGGCACTTCAGGGGCAGTAGCTCATTTCCTTTGCTTTCCTCCCTTCCATACAGATCATCTTTCCAACTTCCTCCTGTGTGCGAGCTTTTCCCCATCCTTCATCTTCATCTCCTGCAGCTTCATGACAGCCCTGCAAGCTCACTTACAGAAAAGGAAAGTGAGGCTCGAGTTAAAGCCATTCAAAATCCACCAGTCTCATCCTGTCATCCATTCGGTAAATTTGCACACTGGGGCTGCTGTGTGCCTGAGATGGTGCTGGGTGCTGGTGATAAAGCCCCAGGCCTTGTCCCTGGACAAGATCTGTACTTAAGTCAATTACCATGATTCCAGATCCCCAGAGGAGGGGATCGGGGAGGAGGGACAGGAGATCCATGTACAGCCCATGGTGGGGAGGGGAGCCTCAGGGAGCACCTCCTCCAGGACCAGGTAGGCAGGCTGGGAACTGAAGACTGACATGGGCCAGGAGGGATCCCAGCTACAGGAAACGGGATGCACAAATGCCTGGAGCAGAAAGTGCTCATCGGGTGCCAACCCCAGAATTTGCAAGCCTCCTAATCAGCCCGCCTGTGGGACCAGAGGACTCAGCACTAGGGTCTGCTGCTCCCCCAGCTTGCCCTCCAACTGCCAGCCTCACCCACAGTCTTCAATTCAAGCAGCCACCCACCACCCACAAGGTGGACTAGATCAGCCAGCCAGGCCTGGGGCTGGAGACGCCAACTGGGAAGTCTTCCTCGCTAAGGCCCCAGCCCAGAGAAGTGGGCCCTGCTCTACCCTGTCTTGTACTCCTGGACCTCAGGCCCACACACCCAATAAAATGATTGTTGTTTTATGTCCCTAAGGTCAGGGAAGTTAGTTTCGCAGCGATAGACGACTGGAATGGGAGTTAATAGTGGCACCCTATTAACTGGGGTGGTGGGCAGGGAGGCACAGGGGAGAGCCACACAGCAAGGTCACACGTGTCATCCCACCACTGACCAGCTCTGAGCTCTTAGGCACCATCCTGTACATCTCTGTGTGCCACAGCTTCCTCATCTGTAAAAGGGGATAAGAGCACCCCTCATGGTGTCTCCTAGAGGTTTAATTAAGTTTTAATAATATCCGAGAGTTTATATACATAGTAAGTGCACTCAACAAAGGGTTTTATCTTAAGATCTATTTCATTTATTCATTCAACAACCATTACTTAAGTACTAAGTCTGAGCCTAGAACTGTATCAGGCCTTTCACGTTAAAAACTTAAATTCATCCTCCATCCTGCCCTCAGAAGTAGGTTTTGTTATTTTTCCTACTTTTTATAGCCTAGGAATCCTAGGCTCAGAAAGGAAGCAGTGGAGTGGGAACTTAAAATCTCACCCTCCACCAGGTGGCTGCTTCCTGTGTGGCCCCCGTGGGGCACATCCCACTGCACCCCGGGGAGATGCGCCTCGTTACTGGAGCTCCACTGGAGCTCCGCTGCTGTCCTCCACTTAGGGTCGCTCCTGTACAGCAAAAAAGCTTCATCTGGAAAAGGACTCCAAAGGACACACACAACAGAAAAGAGTTGACCTCACTCTAATTAAATGACAATAAAATCACACAGAGCTA